TGGGGCAACACCATTCTCTTTGGTATATGGGATGGAAGCAGTTTTACCTGTTGAGGTGGAAATACCTTCTTTGAGAGTATTGATGGAGTTGAAACTGGACGAGGCTGATTGGGTACAAAGTAGGTTTGATCAATTAAATTTGATTGAGGAGAAAAGGCTGAGAGCTATCTGCCATGGCCAAATGTACCAGAAAAGGATGATACGAGCATATGACAAGAAAGTCAGACCTCGAGAATTTCGTGAAGGCGATATGGTGCTAAAAAAGATCTTACCTATGCAAAAAGACTTTCGAGGGAAGTGGATGCCGAACTGGGAAGGTCCCTATGTTGTAAAAAAGGCATTCTCAGGAGGAGCTTTGGTGTTAACAGAAATGGATGGAGAGGATTTGCCTAATCCCGTGAATTCCGATTCGGTCAAACGATATTACACTTAAAAAAAAATTAAATAAATGAGGGTTCAAGATGAAAACCACAAATGGGCGTCTTGAAACCAAAGGAGGATTCGAGTTGAAAATCCGTAATGGACGGCTCGAATAGCCAGAAGTTGAAATGGCGGATTCCCTCGGAAGCCTGACAGTTCAGGGAAAGACTCTCATGCTCACACATCTTTTGTACGATCTGAATCTTCGAAACACATGTCAACTTTCAAGAAAGATTTGGGGTGAAGAAGCAAAAGGATTCAGCATTTGATATTCACTATATTTGTCCTTTGATCTTCCTTTTGTACTTACTTGTTTCTTGTCCCCAAAAGATTATAATTTCTCATTGTCTCTTTTCCATGAAACTTGTCAAATTTGATTCATTGTCCTTGTATATATTCACCAAATTATTGATTATTATGCCTTACTCTGAAAAGTGTCAGAGTATGGGGATTTTGAAACAGGTGTTCGCCAGAGAACACATACAAAGGCACGCTCCCATCAATCATTAAACAAATCATTGAGAAAAAAAGAGGGTTTAAATCAAAGAAATCAGTTTCAACATAATCATACTTTTCCCAAGCAAAGAAGTCCCAATTTAAAGGCATGCAACAAGGAGAGGTCATTCTGAATGAATTTTCTCTGAAAAATCAATCAATGACCAAAGAATCAAAGAGGCAAGATAAACTCTCTCGGGGTAGATCGGAGGGACCAAGTCAAAGAATATTTAATGAGAGGTCAAGAAAGTAACCAGACATGGATAAACGCATAAATATCGCATGTTTCGATCAAAGAGTATGAGAGATTCTCAATGCCAGGAACGAACTGAGCATAACCCTTTAAACATGCATTTAGATCATTCTTAGAGCATATTGATAACATGAAATCATGGCATATGACCATTTTTACAGGATCTTCAAGACTTATTTCATTATTGAAGCAATGAATCAGTCAACATCAAATGACCAGATCTCCTCGACACGTAGGAGAGTGTCAACATTAGGATAACCAGCCGTCCTCATCACGTAGGAACCGAGTTATCACCCTTCCTAAAGATGGCCAGAGTTCTTCATTATGTATGAACCATGTCATCTACCCTTAGACGACCAGACTTCCTCATCATGTAGGAGAGTGTCAACATTAGGATAACCAGCCGTCCTCATCACGTAGGAACCGAGTTATCACCCTTCCTAAAGATGGCCAGAGTTCTTCATCATGTATGAACCATGTCATCTACCCTTAGACGACCAGACTTCCTCATCACGTAGGAGCCGTGTCAACCTTAGATAATCAGCCGTCCTCATTACGTAGGAACCTAGTTATCACCCTTCTTAAAGATGACCAGAACTCTTCATCGCGTATGAGCCGTGTCATCCCTTGACCAGATTTCCTCATCACGTAGGAATCGTGTTTCCCTTAGACGGCCAGACCTCTTCATCATGTATGAGCAGTGTCGTCCCCAACAACCAGCATTATCCAATTTCTATGGAAAAGGGGAGAACCAGACAAAAACGTGTTGTCTTGTCGTCTTTGCCCTATTCTTGTTAACACAAGTATGTGCAAAGAGGGGCAGCTGTAGACACCCGTTTTTGTCTGGGTCTTTTATATTTATTTATTTTTTTTATTATTATTAATTATTATTAACTATTATTATTATTATTATTTTTAATTTTACATATTACACTTTTGCAGGCTTTGAAGCCCAATTCAGATTACAAAGGCCCAATCCCGGAGCCCAACATCCAACAGACCCCTCAGCCACACCAACCCAGCAATCGACCCAAACCCGCTAGGGTTACCCCTTCTCTGCCTCAGCGCCGCACCATCAAGACCGTCTGATCTAGACCCATCCAATGGTCCAGATCAAAGGCCATTTAGGCCTGAAACCCTAACCCTTGTTCTGAGCCCTAACAGCTCAGCCACCAGCCGCCTCTTGGCTTTCCATCTTCCTCTGACGCCGCCACCATCACTGTTCCGGTCTGACCTCAACTGTTTCACTATTGTCATCTACAGCAAAACCAATCAAGAAAATATATCACATACAGTTCAAATCTCACAAAATCTAAACTCCAAATTAAAATACCAATAAATCCCTAAATATTCGGGATTTCTATCCCACCAAATCAGAAAAAGCCATGCCCTACACTAGGTATCATCATCTCACCAAGTACTCAACATAAATCAAGGGAACCAAACCAGGAAAAAAAGGGACTAAAAAAAATATAGAGAAAAAAGAGAGATTCGAAACAGAAAAAAAAGGAGAAGAAAGAAAAGTTTTACCTTCTCGAACCACCACCGTGAATCTTGCTGTGACCTTCTCCGATCCTAGCTAGCCCCATATCTGAAGGTAAAGCCTTTTTCTCTTCTAGGGTAGTTAGGGTTTGGAGTGCAGTGGGTTTTGGGGTTATGATTAACCTAGGATTTTTTTAGGTGAGAGAGAGATGAGGTTACTCCCCATGGCCATCGATCTATGGTGGCCGGGGAGTTTAGGGTTTAAATCCTCGGTTGAGGATGAGAGAAGGAAGGCGAAGAGGTGAGGGTCGAGAGCCATTTTGGCTCTCTGTCTCTAGAAGGAGAGGGAAGAAGGAAAGGTTTGGGGTTTCTCTAGGGCTTTCGCCGCCGATTTACGGCGTTTGTGACCTCTGTTTTTTTCCACGGCGGAGAGAGGCGGAGGATAAGGGAGAGAGGTAGAGAGCTTTTTTTGGTTCTCTGTTTTCTGGAGAGAAGAGGAGATGTGAGAAATGAGAGATATCACTGGGGAAGGGTCTTGGGTTTAGCCTTATAAACCGAGTCCGAAACGGCGCCGTTTAGGTCGAGGACTCGGTTGTAATTTCGTCATGGGTAAACTGCGTAGAAGGGGCTCCCAGGTTTTGAACGTTTATGATATAGCCATTTATTGTATTTTATTTATTTTGTATTTTATACCTCAAGTTTGTAATGTTTATGTATTGGCCACCTTGCAGTAATATTTTGTAAGTTTCAACATTTGTACTCTGTGTTTATAATGTTCACATTTTGCTCACTGCTTTTCTGTTTGGCTTAAATACCGAATTTGCATTGTATGTTTCATTTGTTTTATTTTAGTCATTTGTTTATAACATAGGAAAGTATTAATTTACGTATTTAAAACCTAAGTTTTTTTATACAATTTATAGTCACTGTGTAAATTTTGTATGGGTTATTTACTTGCTTGGTTATGGTCATTTTGTTTAGGTTTATTTAGATACTTTTGCTAAATATATGTATAATTTATTTTTACTTATGTTATTGTTTTTACTTATTTATTTTATTTATTTTAATATTTGCGTTTAGTATGAGTTAATATTAGGAAATATTTATATAGATATATATATATATTGGTTATTAGTCACAATTATTTATATTATTGTGTGATTTGGTTAAGCTTAATTATGTTATAGACGTTCATTTTACTTAATAGGTAAAATGAAATTTTATTTCATTTTTATTACTTTTATAACGTTCAATATGTTAAGGTATTTTTAATAATTAACTATATAGGTTTTAGATGAACAAAGTATGATTTACTTTATACTCATCTCAATATAATTTGGTGTTAATTCAAAGATAGAATATACTTTATAGATGAAAAATGTACGAGATAGCTTTCCCGATGGAGGATTGCAAATCTCGGGATTTCTCACCAAGTTAAGTATTTCTATTATTTTAATTAATATTCAATAAATAAATCATAATTGATTTATCATTCTATTTTTTATAATTTTTATTGTATTAAGGATCTCTATGTTAATATTAACAATACATGTTTTAGATAAATTAAGTATGATTTATTTTATACTCTTGTCGATATTATTTGGTAGTAATTCAAAGATAGAATATACTTTATAGATGAGAAATAGATGAGATAGCTTTCCCGTTGGAGGATTGCAAATCTTGAGATTTCTTACCAAGTGAAGTATTTCTATTATTTTTAACAAATATTCAATAAATAAATCATATTTTTACTTCTGATTCAAACTTTAAATTCTATCATTTACGACGATATATAAGCGACTAAGTACCGATTTTGGGCGTTGTGAGGGGTGTTTACCCTTCCCCGTACGTAACCGACTCCCGAATCCGTTTAAATGAATCTTTGGTAACACAGACCGAATCTTGTCTTAAAAAATGATTTTTCTTAAAATTGTTTTAAAAGACGTTTTTAGGTATTCGACCTACCTAACCCAAAGGTCGATGGCGACTCTTTTCAATTTTATTCAAATCCATTCAAAATCACCAAATTTTCTAAATTAAAGTCATAATTGTTTTTAAAAATAATATTTAATTGTTTTACAAAAAAAAAATGGTTATGACACTACTATTTGAACCTAAGACTTCTTTAACCACTAATACCTTCAATTACATGTTTTTAGTTAATGTCAACTTTTTGTGTTATGATTCGTTTTGTTATACATAATTTTATAATTTTAGCATATAATTCAAATTTATATTTATAAAATTTTACGTCCGGCCCAAAAGAAAGTAAAGCCCAAAGAAAGCAAATCTTTTGACCCAGTTTTTAAACCAAAAACCCTAGACCTCTCTGTATCTGGATTTTCGCTACATATAATCCTTCTTTCCGATTCCGATTGTCTGAGATCTCAACGCCGGCAAACAATCATCGCAGCCCAAATCCTAGCGCCAAGGTATGCTAGCCCTCAATCTATTTTCTTAATTTTCATTTCAGCTAAAATGAAAGCTTGATTCGCAGATTTACTGTTTAATAATCTTGAATACAATGGCCACCGTCGAAATCGCTTGCACTTACGCTGCCTTGATCCTCCACGACGATGGAATCCCAGCCACCGTATGTTGAATATAATGGTTTTTTTTCAGTGTATTTGTTACTATTTCCATTTTTGTGTTTTTTCCTCGTCATTTATTCATTTTTTCTTTCTTATTTTATGTTTTAAAAACACTGTAGGCCGAGAAGATTGCTACTTTGGTGGAGGCGGCGAACGTGAGCGTTGAATCATACTGGCCAAGTCTTTTCGCCAAGTTCCTCGAGAGGTCAACGTCGATAGCCCCTTTGTGGGTTAAAGCAATGAAAGATGAGATTCAAGCTTTGGAAAGCAATCATACCTAGTCTTTGGTTCTTTTGTCTTATGGTCATCTTCTCATTGCTTGTTAATGGGTCTATAAAGTGAAGTATAAGACCTATGGTGAAGTTGAGAGGTTCAAGACACGTTTGGCTGCAAAGGGCTTCACTCAAAGGGAAAGGATTGACTATACAAACACTTTCTCCCCTGTCACCAAAATGGTTATTGTTCGAACCATTCTCTCTCTTGCAGCTGCTCTTGGCCGGTCATTACATCAAATGGATGTATACAATGCTTTTTGCAAGGTGATTTAGCTGAGGAGATTTACATGCATTTGCCTCCAGGGTTTAGCAGCCAGGGGTATGGTCAAGTGTGTAGGCTGCATAAATAAATTTATGGACTAAAAAAGTCTTCTAGACAATGGAACTTGAAGTTGTCTAAAGCACTGTTAGCTGCTGGTTATCAGTAGAGAAAGTTTGACTACTCCATGTTTACAAAAAATGAAGGTGACAAGCTGGTAGCTTTGTTGATTTATGTAGATGATTTATTGATTGCTGGAAATGTTGACAGCATGATCAGTGAGTTAAAGTCAACTTTAAATCTGAACTTATAGATGAAAGATCTTGGAGAATTAAAGTACTTCCTTGGATTTGAAGTTCTAAGATAAAAAGAAGGGATTTTGTTATGTCAAAAGAAATATGTTATGGAACTTATAGAGGAAACTGGTTTAGGGGGAGCTAAACCTGTTGCAACTCCACTTGAACAAAATTTAAGGCTTACCACTATTGAATATGACAAAGGGTAACAACAAGAAACTAATGATTTGGAGTTGAAGGACAAGACTGTCTATCAAAGATTGATAGCCAAGTTGATTTATTTAACACATGCAATGCCTGATATTACCTTTGCAATGCAATAATTAAGCCAATTTTTGCAGCAACCAAAGGAGTCACACTTGAAAAAGAAGCATTGAGGGTGCTAAGGTATTTGAAGAAGGCTCCACGCAAGGATTGTTGTTCAGCAACTGGAAATTTGGAACTCACAACCTTTTGTGATTCAGACTGGGCTACATGTCCAGTAACAAGGGAATCAGTCTTGGATTTTTGCATCAAATTGGGTGATTCACTGATATCTTGGAAGTCTAAAAAACAGAGCATTACAGCTCGTTTATCAGCTGAGGCTGAATACAAGAGCATGAAAGCTGCAGTTGCAGATATATTTTGGTTGACAGGTTTACTAGAAAGTCCGGGGATAAAGGAAGTTCAACCAGTAAAGTTGTTCAGTGACAGTAAAGTTGCTCTTCAAATAGCATCAAACCCTGTTTTCCATGAGAGGGCCAAACACATTGAGATTGATTGCCATTTTGTTAGAGAAAACAAATTCAACTAGGATTGATCAAAACTTACCATGTAGCCTTTGGGGAGCAGCTGGCAGACATTCTAACAAAAGCTTTAGGAATTCAGCAGTATAAGTACTTGATGTGCAAGTTAGGGTTGGAGACATTTTTGAACCCCCAACTCGAGAGGGAGTGTAGAGAATGTAACAATAATTAGTTCCAAGTAGTTACTTTAACATGTTGTAGTTAGTTAGTTAAATAGTTGATTTATTGTTTTCATTATAAAAACAATATTGTCCATATCATTTAGTAATGAGAAACTGAGGTGTTTTTCACGTGCTCTATTCTTAACAATTATAATAAAGTTTATTACAGAAAAACCAAAATAAATGGGTAACAAAGGGTCTGAATTTGAGACCCATGGTCAAGGAAACAAATGATGAACCATTAAGCCAGGTTAATAACTTATATTTCATATTCGTAAATGCTTAATATATATATCTCAACTTAAATTTAAATATTAAATTAAATACTTATTAATTTTCAAAAAGTATATTTTATTTTTATTTTGATTAAAAATATATTTTACTTTTATCTTTTAACTTAAAAATATATATTATTATTAGTTTAACTTAAAAAATATATTTTATTTTTATCTTAAACAATATATTTTATTTTTATCTATATTTTTAAAAATATTTTTCTCTATTTTATTAGAATTCAACATTAAAAATATATTTTATTTTTATCTTAAATTATTAAATATAATTTTATTCTTATCTTAACTTAAAAAAATATATGTTATTTTTATCTTAATTTTTAAATAAAATATTTTATTTTTATATTAGTTTAAAAGTATCAAAAAAATATTATATGGTGTTATGGTAATTGTAGTGAAGAGATGGAAAATTTCCCAGAGCCAATCGTTAGGAAGAAAAAAAAATCAGAGATGTTTGTGACTACTAAATTATCACTCATTTTCATATTGACCGTTTATGTTTTGATTTGATCAATGAGGCCACTCAATTATTTAAATGCTTCAATCAAGCTACCATCGACTGCTAATTTTTAACGTAAATGATGACGTGTCAGTTAATACAATTAGCATAACTATATATTATATACTTTATATTTACAAATTTAATTGACATGTCAATATGTGATTGAAATATTTTATTTATTAATTTTAATTATTTAATTAAATGATTTTTCTATCCAACCAATGTCACCACTAAATTGAAGTGAAAATAAAGGGAATGTATTTGGACTTGTAATGAATAGAACCAACAAGAAGATTAAACAGCTCAGCACCCAAACTAATGGGCCAAATGTCCCTAATGGTTTTCAATTGCAACAAATTGTATTTGTCTTTTAAAAGCTTGTTATTGATCAAAAAATGTAGAAATGAAAAAAAAAATAGAATTAGAACCTACACAACTTATAAAATAAAAGACAACATAAATAATTAAAAAATATAATATTTTAAATTGTAATTAATGAAAGTTTTAAAATGAAAATAAAAATAAATTTTTATATTTTAAAATTAAATTTAAAATATAATTTAAAAATATAAAAAATGAATTATAAAATATTAAAAAATAAAAAATAAATTTAAAATTTAAAATTTAAGGTTTTCAATAATATTTTTATATTTAAGATCTACATGGGTGACCACCTAATTGGTATTAAAATATAAATTGTAAAATTAAATATATAAAATATTAAATTTAGTTCTAAAATAAAAAAATTATTTTTATTGTAAATCTTCAATTAATTACAATTTAATATATATATATATATATAATATAATGTATTTTAGTATAAATAAAATATTATATTTGTTTAATTGTTTATATGCTCTTTTACTTTATAATTTGTAGTAAATTTTAATTTTTTTTATTTCTGTTTTTGACCTTTCATAAAATTCTAAAAGATTGATAAAATCTGTTGTAATTTTTAAAGAGAAAATAATCTCAGTGACCAAAAATCCCATATAATATACGATTTTAACCAACTTTTTCCGGATTTGCCAAAATGACCAACAAAATCGCAATGCGATCGCTAATTCGCAACGCGATCTCCATTATCGCAAATTCGCGTTGCATTTTCGCAATGCGATAGTTGAAAATCGCGTTGCGATGGTCTACAGTATCGTTGCGATTTTCCCAATTCGCAATGCGAATAAGTAAATCGCAACGCGAATTGGGAAAATCGCAATGCGATACTTACTATCGCAATGCGATAATACAAAATCGCAACGAGATACTTACTTTCGCAACGCGATACTGACTTTCGCAACGCGATTTACATAGCGCCATTCGTATTAACGCGTATTTTTTTTTCAAATTCCAAACACGTATTTTTTCTTAATAAATCGGAAAATGAACCGTCCACAGTAATCGCAACTCATAACCTCAAACCCAAAAACACAACACTCAGTCCCATCTCCATCTCTCACTCTCTACGGCGAAATCCGTACCCATCTCCGAAGATTTCCGTCCCCATCGGCGAAATCCCTCACAACCATTCACAGTCAAAAATCCCTCACAATCATTCAGAAATGGAAAATCAACCTACGAGGGTTAGTTTTTTTTATTTTTATTTTGAAATTTTTGCATTATTTTAGGTTTTTCATATTGAGATTGATGATAAGTTTACTGGTAATTTCAACAATAGATTAACCATTTCACTTAGATTTCTTATTAAATTCATTCGATTGCTGCCAATACTGCTAAACTGTTTAGCCTGTGAAGTTAGTATTTGTCTTTGCTTTGTCTTTTGGTTGAAGTAATGCAGAAGAAGAATAGTTTCGAGAATGAAAATCGCAACGCGGAAATAACTATCGCAACGCGAAATAAAAATCGCAACGCGAAACCAAAATCGCATTGCGATTTTCATTTCGCGTTGCGATTTTTATTTCGCGGTTGCGATTTTCATTTCGCGTTGCGATTGTCTGGTCGCGATAGTCATTTCGCTTTGCGATTCTCATTATCTCGTTGCGATTTTCATTTCAACCAAAAGACAAAAACAGTGTTGCAAATTTTAGTTTCAAGAATAAACTACTATTTATGTTTATTGTTTTGTTTTTGGTATATCTTGACAGTGTAATATTGGTATATCTAACTTGGTATGTTTATTATTTTTTGTAGAAATTTTTTCGGCTTCATTGACATTAAGGAATAAAGTTAGCCTAGCCACTACAATTGCTTCGAAGCTTTCACCTGCACAAAGAAAATTGTTTGAAGAAACCTGCTTCGGGCCATGGCTGAGAGTACAGCATCCGGGTGGAGATGCTAGTTTGACCCATTTGTGGCTTCAGACCATGACTAGCGATCTACCCGACAGTATACAACGTGGTGAGGAAGAGATATGGTTTCATTTTCCACCGGCGTATACTTGTTTTGGGCGGAAGGAGTTCTGCTTAATCACTGGTCTACGATTCGGACACGATGATGTAGGCCGGTACACTCGTCATATCACCCGCCCATCATGGTTATCCAGGGTTTTTCCTGATGAGTCAATAGAGAAGCCGAACTTACACGTCGACGACATGAAGAAATTGTTTAATAAGAAAGATGGTTTTACTCGGATGAATGACGTCGATGTTGTCCGAGTATGCCTTCTACTACTTTTGTATGCCGGCTTTCTAGGCAGAGAGGCCAGACAACCTATTCCTCATGAGCTAATATTATTGGTAGAGGACCTAAATGCATGGAATCTGTTTCCGTGGGGTTCGTATATATGGAAAGCTACCTGGACTAAGTTGTCGTCTGCCTTTGATGACCGCAAAAGTTTGCGGGGCGATGGGTCGAAATACACTTTGTCAGGCTTTGTTTGGGCCTTTAAGGTAAGAATTTCTATATAATGTTTTCAAAATTATAATTAATTATTTAACAATTACTAATGTTTGTTATTATATTGTTTGTAGATTTGGATATTCGAGGCTTTCCCCAGCATGCGGACATATGCATTAAAATTCTCAGATGATATTCCTAGGGCTATTTCCTGGAAGAGGAAACGTATGTTGGATTGGGAAGACTTAATACCATATGCGACAATAAATAATGTAAGTTAACACAAATACTATCATATATAAACAAGTTATTAATAGTAGACG